CTTATCTTGTGTTTGCACTGCCCAATGCCGGTTTGCATTCCTCTGTGTAACTCTAGCATTGCACAGATGCCCGTATATACTGATGTAACATAGGTGGTTTTCCAAATTTTCACTGTCTGTGGGTTTTGAACTCCCAACCTACCACTTGGAGGGTTGACAACTTATCTACTTCACTAAGTCACCACACCCCTTGCTGTTTTGTTTTAATTTGGGTTTTGTTTGTTTACTTTTGTTTTTTTAGTCATATTCTTATTTGTATTTAATTTTATAATACCCCTCTTTTTTTGGCCTTTTAAGAAAAAGAAAAAATTAAAGACAGTTAATGCTTGTCCTGAAAGAGAGAAATCCTTTCTGGTACGGCTTTAAGTAGTCAGATAAGCAGTCTACCTCTGATTGAGGTAGTGCAGCAGGTCACACTTAGGTACCAATAGAGTGGCCAGGTGATGCTGAACTTAGTTATTAGGAAAATTCTATATAATTATTATATATAGTTACAAGAATCTTAATAAAGTACTAGTGTGGCTACTTAAGAGCAAAAAAAAAAAAAAAAAAAAATACTCTTTTTCATTCTAGCTGATTTTGTAGCTCTCTTGCATATTCTTTCTAATCTTCTTGTTTAGCTTCTTCATATAGATATATTGTTCTTGTTTGGTCTTTCTATTTAATTTCTATCCTACTGCAGTTGTGATTATATGTTTTACTCATATTTTTGTTGTTATTATTTTATGATCACTGTCTGTCAAATCTTCTGCTTCTTTAATATTAGCTTTCTGTAAATCTGATGCAAGTGTTTCTGATGGCCAGATATAATCTATTCTTGTTGCTGTTTTTTGATTTGACCATGTGTATGCTTCTTTTGTTGAGTACAAGTTTCTGTATGAATCTATAAAGTTTTGCCTTTTGAACCAGCTAAATATTGGTAGTTTTTTGTAGTTTGATGTTTGTGGATGCTGCCTGTCTAGTATATTATTTACTGTATGATTGAAATTATTTAGTATAATTATTTCTGTATATCTTTTCCTGTTTGTTACTACCTCTACAATTCTTTGCTAAATTTTCTTACTAATTGACTTGTTGTTTGATGAGATGTATACACACTCCTACAATAAATTACCAGATTTTGGTATAGCAGTGATGATCATTTTCGAAGATAAATATTTTTAAAAAGCCTTTGTTTCCCTTTTTGGCCAAGGCACAATTGTTAACCATATTCATAAAAACCAGATTTTTTTCTAGATTCTTTTTGTACCAAACATGCATGAAAACGAATTGACAAATGAGCAAAGAGACCAAATAATCAGTGCTTATCTTGTGGGTTCAAATGCCTCAAAAATATCAGCTGCGCTAAGTATTGCCTGTACAATAGTATATGAAACTATAGATCGTTATAAAAAAACTGGTTCTCCATATCCTAAAAAACGATCTGGTCATTCAAAAGCTCTTTCATCCCGTGATCAACATTCTTTACAAAGAATCGTTTTAAAGAATAGATTTTTACCTCTTAATAAACTTACAAATGAATTAAATCTTAATTTTAATACAACTTATCATCCTAATACTATTCATAACTATCTTCATAATTTTGGTTTAAAAGGTCATGTTGCTCATTTTAAGTCTTTTTTGAAGCATAAAGATCGTATTAAATGATTAAAGTAGTGTTAAGCAAAACGTAGTTGGAATGAGGAATGGAAACATATTGTTTGGTCAGATGAATCAAGATTTGCTTTATTTAGATCTGATGGATGTACAAAAGTATAGCAAAGAGTAGAAAAAGAATATAATATAAACTGTATTAAACCTACTTTTAAATATGATGGTGGATCTGTAATGTTTTGGGGATGTTTTAGTTGGGATGGTGTTGGACTGTTAGTAGTAGTTAATGAAAAGATGGATCAAGACATATATGTTAATGTTCTTGCAAATAATTTAATACCATGGATATGTGACAATCCAAATTTAGTATTTTAGCAAAATTTGGCTCCATGTCACATGGCACAATATACAAAATGGTGAATGGAAACATATAATATTCTAATTTTAGATTGGGTTCCATATAGTCCGGATTTGAACCCAATTGAACATCTATGGGATTATCTTGATTGTCAAGTTCAAAAAAGAAAACCCTTGCCCAGTTCAAAGAATGAATTAATTAAGGCCATACAAGAAGAATGGGTAAAGATACCTTTAGAGGTCTTATGCAACCTAATTTTAAGCATGCCTGACCAAGTCAAAGCTATCTATAAAGCTAAAGGCTGGCATGTTAAATATTGATTTTTTTTGGTTTAGTAAAAAATAGAGGCTTTATTTTATATAATATTAGGCTAAAATGTTCTATTTTTTTTATAAAAATAAAAAATTAAGATTAAAAGATCAGTGATCATTCTTATCACATGATCTACATCCGGTAATTTATTGTAAAGGTGTGTACTTCTAGCACTACTAATTCTAATTGTTTAAAATATAATCTCACCTTTAGCATGTATTCACTGACTCTTTTAACTGCTTTTACATGCTTTTCCTACTTTTCATCTATTAGAATTCCTATGCCTGAACCTTTTTTCTTGTTTATTACTACACTAGTCCAATATCCCTTATACTGTATATTATAATTATGCAGTAAAAATTTTCTCTTTTTTTCTGTAATATTTGTTTCTATAATTCCTACTATTGCAAGTTCTTCTTTTTCTGCCTATTCAAGGAGGTTTTCTACTTTCCTTCCTCTTGTTTTAAGTCTGTTGATGTTGTGGCATGCAATTTTTATTTTCTTTTTTCCTTGTTTCTATTTTTTTTCCAGGCATTTATGCTTTGTTTCCATGTTTTCTATCTTCTCTTTTTCTTTTTTTCTTGTTTTCTCATTATAGCCAAGAGATGCATTTATATTTCTTTTTTTGAAAATTCTTCTTTCACTATACAGAAACTTTTCAATCTTCTGGTCTATGCTTATTAATTTAACTGTGACACTATTAGGAGTAGTTAGTAAAGTCTTCTTCTATCTTCTATTTTGTCTTGTTTTGTTGTGCTTCAAGTCTTTAGTCTTTTGAGAATTTTTTCCAAAAGGTCTTAGCTATGTATTTGTGAATCTTCTTTTTTGTTACATATATATAATGCTTCTTTTTATTTTTGTTGAACTTTTCTGTATTTTCTTTTCTTCTGTTACTTTTGTTTTTATACACTTTTGCATCTAAGCCTATGTTTATGTCATGTATAATTATGCACTTCTCATAATAATCTTTTTCTTCTTCATTCTGCTTCTTTTTTTTTGTTTTGTTTTGCCAAAATAGCAAGTAATTATTAAACCTTATTGGTTTAGTTTATGCTATTCTCATCTTCTTCTCTAATGCAAAAGTAATTATTGCAGATTTTCTCTGATTTCCATTTCTGTTTGTTGGTATATATACTAACTTAGCATCTCTTTTCCTTAAGCATTGTAGTAGCAGCACTTCAAATGCATTTCCTAAAAGCTCTAGTAACTTTGATGTATATAGACTGTGTTGGTCTCATAGACTGTAATCTTCATTGCCTTTGAACACTCTTGCTAGTTTGTGTGTGCCAATTGGCAAGACCTATAGAATATTTTCTTTTCTTAAATTCTTTGTATATATTACTGCCAGGGCTTTGTATTTGGACCTCTTGATTTATTCTATTTTGGCATTTTGATGTTTCTGCACATATGTTTTACTTCTATATTAATATTTGCTAGTAGGTCTCAGATCGTTAGATAGTTTTTTGTCTTTAAATTCTCTTCTGTTCAAGCACTTTTTGTATTCTTAACATTGTTTTTGCTTGGCTTGTGTCTTTGTATTCTTCTTTTTTTCTTTCTCTGTTTTTAATATTTGACTCTTCTGTTTTATTGTTCTTCTTTGTTTCTATTTGTCTTGTACTTTCTTCATTTCTTCTCTTAGTGTTATGCTCCTCTTGTTGTTTTATATTTTGAGTTTTGTTTTTAAATTCTTCTGGTATGAGTTTTAGCTATTCTTTTTTTTTTTCTTAATTCTGTTCATTGCTGCATCTCTGCTATGTTTACAGTCAAAATCCACTTTTATTCAATTATTTTCATTTTTGAATACTTCTTTGACTGTTTTAATATGATAATTTTTTTCTAGAATCCACTGGATATACTTTATCCTTTCTTCTTTTGTTTCATCTAGCAAGGCATATGTTAGCATATTGGCTTTGAAGAATCTATTTTTATTACATATTTAATTATCTGAAGACTATTAACTGTGTTCAATTGACCCTGTGGGAAACATTGTCTCATCTTCTTTACTATTCATTTCTTTTTCTTGTTTTGTTATTTCTATATTCATAGTTTCTAGATTTGTCTCTTTGCTTTTTATTAATACTTCTTTTTTATATTCTAAATTATTTATGTCTTGACTTGCTTGATATCATGATGTAGCAATGCTAAGCCCTTTCATTTGCTCTTCTAGCATTTCTAATCCCTGCTCGAACTCTTCAAAATTGTTTCTTTTTTCTTGGTTTTGCTCTCTATTAGTAAATTTTCCTGTTTTGTTAGATTTCACTAATATACTTACCTTATCTTTTCTGCTTTCTTTTTGGTAAACTTCTTTTTCTTTTATGTTTGTGTTGTATTTAAATAAGCTTGGGTTGTAGCTTATTGACTTCAACTTTTCTGCCCACTTGTCAATTATTCCTTCCTTAAGCCAGCTTATTTTTACTATTCTTAAGGCTTCTAAAATCTGATCATAAACTAGCAAGTCTTGTAGTATAATGTGTTTTGGGTCATAGATTGCTAAATTCTTTGCAATATGCTCTATGTTGTTTGGGCCTTTGGTTGGTGTTTTAAGAACTTGGTCTAATATTTTGCAATTAACATATTTGCAATTTCTGTCTTCTATATCTTTAATATGCTTTATAATATCTTTATTATGTGTTTTGTCTATTGGCTGTTTTAGTTTGGTTGTTGCTATGTCATGTGCTTATTCTAGTAAACTACTCTGCTATCTGTGTTTGTTGTTTACTTTACTTATTTTGTGTACTTCTCATGTAATCTAAATTGATCTTTACAACAGAGTTATAGAGATTTCCCAAAATTTTTACAATAAATTTTGTTTTTGTTAAAGTTTTAAAATCTTTTCAAGCTGTGCTACTTTTAAGCTTTTCTACTTGTGTCTTTGTTTTTTAGCTAGATGTAACTTTTGCTGCTCTTCTTTTTTTGTTAAAGGCCTAAATGATGTTTCCTAATAGGTTTTGCAGTTTTTCTGTATTTTGCTTCTTAACAGTTTTTGGTCAAAGGATCTATAGAGAAGAGTGTGATAAAAATGAAAGAAAAGAATTATAATTCTTGTTTATTTAGTTACACAATTAGTATTTATATAAAAAGTTGTAATTTACTTTTTAGTTTAATAACAGTGTCATATTTAATTTTTATTTTAATAATAAAAATTTTTACAAATGAAAAAATATATTAAATTTTTATTTAACAATAATATTTTATATAAATCTACAAAATATAAAATATGTAAAGCAAACTTGTTTCAAGATAATAAAAGATTTATTTATATAAATAAAAAATGCAAAAAATCAGTTTTAATATTCAAAAATTTATTCTTTTTAAAAGTGTATATGAAATGCAATCTTACAATAATGTTTTATTATTTTTGGCTATCTAAATGCAATTATTATTTGATTGAAAAGATGACAGACCATTTATCAAATATAATAACTGATTATATAAAATTTTATCAAAAATTAGTTATTAATACTTTAAAAGATTATGAAGACAAAATAGATAGTAAAAGAATTGTTATTAAAATCAATAAATCTAAATTTGAAAAAAGAAAATATTATCATGACAGAGTTATTGATAGTGTATGGATTATTGATGTATTAAAAAAACATAACAAAAACAATGCTTTTTGATAAAAGTGCAGAAACATAATGAAGAAACAATTAAAGATATCTTAAATAAATATGATGAAAAAAAATTTATTGTTTATACAGATTGTTGAAAAGATTATCTAAATATTAAAAAACTAGACTACAAACATAAAACTGTTAACTATTCAGAAAATTTTGTAAATCCTAAAACAGATGCACATATAAATACTATAGAAGAATTATAGAATGGCATTAAGTTACAGATTGTTCTGTAAAATTGAAATAAAGATTTAATTGAATCACACTTATTTGAATTTATTTGGCATAAAGTAAACAAAAACAGACTCTGGGATGCATTTATCAAAGTACTATATTCTACAACATATTACTATTCTAATAATATTATATTGTAATAATTATATGTATTAGTATATGCTAAACTATAGTTCAGCTAAGACTTTATAGATTACATAGTCTCATTTAAGTTACAAAAATTTTTAAAGTTTTTTGTCTTTGTGGCACAATAATTTGTTCTAAAATTGTTTTTATAAAACTATTCTGAAATTAGGCTTGGTACTAAGTAACTATGTCTTAAGCTCTTAAGTAAAGTTGTAAAGCAAACTTCAATGATTTTAACAGTAGTTATAATATTAAAATTGACTTAGTAAATAATTTTCTATGTTGATTTTAAGAAATTCAAAATGTTTCTTTTCTTTCTTTAATCTTTTTTTTAAAGTTTCTTTCATCAGAAAAGTTATATATAGATAGATATCAATTACTAATCAACTAAATATATAGTGATAGTA